ATGAAAATAGCCTTAGACGAGAATTAGACAAGAAAATTTCGAATATAAAGTTTACTTATCAATAAGTAGTATATTGTTGTCATCGAAATTTTTTTCATCATACTACCTCCTAACTTGATAGACTAGTTAATGAGTATAATTTACAATTTTTTTAATCTTAAAGAGGGAGATGTGAGTGAACAAGTGTTTTGACTTGTAGTGTAACGAGCAGATGCTAGCCCGACCGAAGCTGCTACCTTGACGTGGTGGTCAGGCTTGCCTATCATGATGACCAAACCGAGCTATATTGACTGGAACTTATGTTCCTGAAGGTTCTACCATGCCAGGCAGGTCGATTTGAGAAAGCTGAGACTAATACTCGAAAAACGTTTCATAAAAAGGCCGTGCGTGACCAGCCTCAAGCAGTTGTACCTTCGGCAGGAGTCGTGGATGAGCACTGCTGAGGAGTCTCATACCAGGACGAAACGGCCGTCCAGTGCTTCCAGGTTTCTAATGTTGGTCTAACATTGATCGATTCATGGTTTCAAAAATGTGTAACTTAAAAATATTTCTCACAAACTAATGTAATAAAAGCAAGAGCTGTTGAATTAAAGCTTATTGAGAATATGTTGTTTTATACATTTTAAAAACCTGGTGATTTAAACTGAGATAGATCCCAAAATATATTTGAATGTCTAACTATCTTCATTCGGATTGAAACTGTAAGGTGATGAAACTATTTTTGTAGACAGCTTTAAACAAAATTAACAAGATGAATTTGAAAAGTATTTCATCACTTAACTAAAGTTCATTGGTCATATATCTGTCTTATTTTTGTCTGACTATAAATTCTTAGTCATGCTTCTTTATCTCTTGGAGTTGGCTCACTCTACATCGCTTCATCCGTTCATTCGCCGCCTATTCACTCGCTTGCCTGCTTTCCAGCGCTCGCATGACGATTTTATCTTATAACGCTTGTAGTCTGCTGGTCTATTTGTGGTGTGTTGAAAATAAACTTATTCAACACTTTATGTTCTACCTTCTGATTTATAAACCGTCAGACGCTAGTTAGTAACGACTGTCTGGGCAAGCTAATCATGAAGATTAAGTACACGTCGAAATCGGTCACCACACAGTGTTAAAGATGCGGTATTTCTTGTAGTGACGTGAATTATTACCAAGCCGCTGCAAATGTTATAAGGTTATATATATTTAACTGAATCAAGAGTTGAAAAAAAACCGAAAAATCAATGAGGGGGTTCTCCACTTTGTTGAAGAATTAATCGGATTAAACTTATTCATAACAATGGTACAAATTTCGAGAAAAATACCTATCCCTTGAATCTATATATATGAAGAATAATTTATAGACTTCAAATTATACTTTAAAAAAGGTTTCTCATTGACTCTAGGTATGCTTAAAACTATTACGAGTTCACCTTAGTCGAGTAACGAGAACAAAACGATGAACCAGTAGTGTCCAGGTAGGCTATTCCGATCCTTTGACCAAATTGAACCAGCCAGAAGTCTTGATATAGTGTAGAAAGTTTATTCTACAAACACCCAACCAGCACACAATGAATCCAAGCACTCAAATTACGTTTATTTACACTCCATAGAAACGTCCTTGGGACAGTCACAAAAATAGCACACTAAAATGACACAGTAACCAATCACAACCAAGGATTTTTCCTGGTGGGAAATGTAATCTCACGGTCAAGTGATCGGTCCATGAAATAAATCCAATTTATCAAGCGAGTTCTTGGGATTTAACATCCTCAACATATATACGTTGATTAATATCAACTGAGAATCAAGTAAAATTAAACGACAGATATAATATGCGTAAGATGTTAGTGAATATTGAAAACTCCGTAATATAAAAGCTTTCAGTTGATGAATCATCCTTTAATTTGTATTTGAAAAGAACTTTGAGAAGAGGAGAGAACCAGCAAGTGCCATGGTTCCATGGTCAACACATGGAACTATTGTAAGTTTGATATCCGCAATCACAGAAAATGAAATTCTTTTTGTGTTAGGATATTCATCCAATATTCTAAGAGAATTATTGGTCAATTCCTATTGGTCGATTTCTATTGGTCAAAATTATGGTCGTTTTAATTCTCAAAGTCAAATACTTAAATGTTGTCTCTTATTGGTCATCCTGACTGTCAATGTCACTTCAAATGTTGCTTCCTATATGTCGTCTTAACTGTTGATGCCACAGAATTCGATGCTGTTTCCTATTCGGCCAAAATGTATAAATACGCATTATCTGTAACATTTTATGACCACGACCAGGACCAGGGCTCGGTTACGGTTCCCTAGTCCAGGATCCTGATTCTTTTCTGGATTCGGACCTGGTACTTTCTGGATGCTTGTAGAATACAGATTCTACTTCATATCATGTCTTCTTAGTTTTGCTAAATGTGGGGGTTGGGATAATCGGATTTGAGTAGCATGTCGTGTCGCTGGATTCTCGTCCTCGCTTTCGTTTTCCGGCTAGGTAAACTCATAATAGTTCAAGTATATCAAGTTGATGTGTTTATGTGCAGACGTAACATTTTGCTCAAACATTTTTTGGTTCAGTGAACTCCGATAAGTTCATTCATTCATTCATTTTGATCAATTGATTGAAAAAAGGGAATCAAAAATCAATTTTTAATAATTGCATTTTTATCCTTGTTATATAATGCAAAGACCCATGTTTCAAATATTACCAAAAAAAATTTTTTATATGAAAAAGGGAGTAAAGGTTGCTTCTTTGTCCCCTTATAGTTAGTCAGTCATATGCTTAATCCAATTGAATTTGTATTTTAAAAAAATTCAATCCATTGTATATAAAGAAGATCACTGGCAAGCGGGGATTTAATGAATCATTTAACAAATCTTATAAATACATATTAAATTCTGTAAATCTGTGGTGGCCGATTTTGTTGACATCGAGATCACCAAATGTGGGGTCCATTTATTTGCGTGTTCGGATAGCTCGGTAATTAGCTCGTCTAGACAATCGTCACTAAATAGTGTCTGACGGTTTATAAATCAGAAAGTGAACTCGAAGTGATGAATACGTTTATTTGGAACACACCACAAAGCGAAGCGGAGAAGCAATGTTGAATAAAACGAAGTGGAGAGGCTAGCGAGCCAACTCCTTGGATTACAATGCGAACGAATGGGTGAAGGAAGCGATGCGGAGAATGGCTAATGAGTCAACTCCAAGAAATAGAGCATGACTAAGAATATATAGTCAGGCGAATATAAGACAGATATGCGACAAGCGAAATAGGCACACATGAATGAAAGCGACGAATGATTGACAAGGTCAAACGACAAGTGGAACACGTCACCTGAGCTCATACAAACCAGACAATAATAATAAGAACGAATGGTACAACATATACAAATGACTTGGTTAAATAAATTATTAATCGAAAGAGCTTAACCAAATTAAATGTAAGCGAACTGGAATATATGTGGAGGCACTACAAATCAATTAATCACGAATGGTTTGTTTACAAGGTTATTCGAGGCGTATACATCGCAATTATTTAAAAAACGATTGCTAAAGAAGACTTTAATTAAAAAAATAGTATTCTTTTTATTTTTTAAAAAAACATTAGCAAAAACACCGCGAAAATTTAAAAAACAAGTTGAAACCCAAATTATTTTAGGATTCCTTACATTTTATTTGTATATATAAGTATTAACACAGTGCAGTTTTGTGGTGGTAGGTCCCCATTACTGAGTAATCCTCATCAACTAAGAACAGAACGGTCATTCACTACTCGTTAATCACCTCATTAACTTTTCCAAATTATTCCAATTCATGGTGAAAAAATATCGTCAACAGTTAAAAACCATCGGCCCACTGAACCGGCCCGGTGGTCCAATGGTTAGGCGTTAGCCTACAGTACCGAAGGTCCTGGGTTCGAATCCTGCAGGGTGTAGGGGTCGTGGATGCGCAGTGCCACTGATGAGTCCCATACCAGGACGAAACGGCCGTCATTCAGTGCTTCCAGGTTTCTAATGGTAGTCTAACATTGTGTTGGGGATGTTATATCCCCGAAATTCGCTTCATAAATGCCTTATTATTTGGATTTCACGTTTGCCAGCATAGGCTGATCAGCTGACCTTGAGATTTCATTACCCACCAGGAAAATCCATGGCTGTGATTGACTGCTTTGTATTTTAGTGTGCTATTTTCTTAACTGTCCCACTGGGACGTATCTATGTTGTATAAATAAACGAGATTTGTATGCTTGATTGTACTGTGATTGCTGGGTGTTTGTAGAATATACTTTCTACACTTACAAAGACTTCTGTTTTGCCGTTTTTGGATCAAGGTAGCCTACCTGGACGCGCTGGTAATTGTCTCGTTCGTGTTTATCGACTAAAGTGAACTCATAATAGCCTCAAGCATACTTAGTGACGATTCCAATAATAGTGATCGATTCATGGTTTCAAAGAAATGTGTAACTTAAAAATCAAACACATTTCTGGAAATGTAGAATTCAAATAAAAACGACACATAATATTTTATATAAATAAAATTTATCGATTAATTTTAATATTACAAAAAGTTTTCTTTTTCCTTTTTTTAAACATTTTTTTTGTATGACAAATAATGATGCATTATACAAAAACAAAAGGGAGAATACAATGAAAATATGTGATCAATTGTGAATAAATTGACAATTGAACATTTTACTGCGAACACAGATAAACAAACGAACTGTTCATGCTAGCGATAAACGGAAACAGAATAGTAATAATAATAATGATAACAATACGTATGTGAGTGTGTGTGCGTATGAATGAAACAGAAAAAAGAGTACAACAGATTATATTAAAACAATCTACAATTAGTATATACTATTGATATGATGATATTTATATATTCATAAGTCAATTGAATAATACACATATATTCGAGGTAGAAATAGTTACACAAACAAATTACATTTGAATGATCGATTCTGAATAAAATGTAAAAAATGTATTTTTTTTTTTTTGAGTAACTACAATATCAAATACATGTTTCTACCTTTTTCAGAACTAAACATTGTTGACATTCTACACGACAACACCAAATAAATTTACAATTACATGATTCCATTGTATAATAATGATGTGTGACATAGCCTCGTTCACAGCATAAATGTCGACAATTATTTACATACGATGATGAAGAATTACACAATCGACCTTTTGTTCCTAATATATGATAAAATGGATGTGATTCACAAAACATTTTCTCATTTATAAATTCATAATAAACTAATTGAGATGAATGTGGTGGACGTGTGACATTGTGGATACTTTCAGCCGAACTAGTCAACAATGACGATGATGAAGATGATGATGATGAGTGAGTATTGGTTGGGTTTATAATAATTAAATTTGATTTTCTGGGAGTTTTTCTTAAATTGTCCCCTTTGCTATTATAATTATTATTATTGTTCTGATAAGGTTTAAATTTCACAGCTTTGTCTAAATGTGAACGTCCAAACTGATTTGATGTAGATGAAAATACTTTGTGTTTTTCTTTATCAGTAGTAGTACGAATTCCGCCGCCCAGTTGATTGGAATCTAAGGAAGTTTGGTAAGAAGACGTTTGTTAGAGAAGAAAATAGTTAGACTGTATTCTAATGTAAAATTTATGAATATTTACTGGTATACTTATTTTATTATAGTAATATTTTTTGTAAATTGGACTGATTGCAAACACTTTCCTGTTATGTCGTTGAAGAATCAATCGCTTCGTTCATGTTATAGCAAATCTCAGGAGTGAGCTTTATTTACGACAATGAAAGTTTACAGTAGTAGATTACCATACTACGACTGTGGTGCGCGCTACTTATAAGTAGTATAACACGCGAGTGTAAACGTAATGTCTGGCAGCAGAAGATGGGGGAAGATCAAGAAAGGAAGAAGAGCGGGAACACAATGGAATTTGTATGAAACGCATGAATGAATAGTGAAATATCAGACAATGGATTGATGATGGATTGAAGATTTGCAAATTAACCATTTACGATATGGTTTTCCTATTTTACTGAGTAACTCTGTGATTTCCGTTAAATACAATTCGGTTGCCCTCACCTGTGTTCTCGTTCACTACACTACAACTACGACGAATAACCTTCCAGCTGTTAAACATTCAGTTTAGTAGTGATCAGAAAGATTCATCTATGGATAGACTGTGTTAGATTTGACTAAAGATTATAGAACTCTCTACTACACCAAAAGTAATAGAGCCTTTGTCTCTGTTAACGTTTTTCCATTAACTGAGTAAATGATAGGAAACCTCTTTTTACTGTTGATCCAATCGGAGCCGTAAAACACAAACGAGATAGCCTAACGATTAAGTACACATCGTCATACCTAGAAGTCATGATCTCTGCTCTCGCGAGAAATTGTAGCAGTGCACTTCTGAATAGCCACAAGCTAAGACGAAATTGTTGTCTAATATGTTTTAGTTTTTGATGTTACTCCAACTAAAATCGGTCCGTGATTAATATTACCCACAAATTAGGCGAACTTTTACAAACTTCTCATCCAAAACCATAAAGTCCATTTAGCCAACATATTTGTAGTGAACTATCATTTATGATTGGCTGACTTTCAGTGCACCGACAATTTGACGATCATCTGACCAAGGTTAATAACATGAAAGATTTTTCAAACATGGTCCTGATAAGATATCGAAAGAATTACTCGAGTCAGTCAGTTGTTCATTGCTAGAATATCTCGTACATTTTGGCACCTAGGTTCCATTACAATTCAATTTCAAAGTCATTCATTCAAACAAATGATATATCTCTAAGACTATACAAATTCATGACTTATGTATAAGAAGAGGCCTTGGCCATCGATCCGTCAATTCAAACTGCGTGTACAAAAACAACAGATTTGAGCGGTCATTTTAAGATTGTTTTAACCTTAAACTATCGTCACACCATTGTTTCCTAATTAGTCCTTAATTACTGATGAACTATTTTGCAACCTTTAAACTTTATAGCATTCATGTCCACCAAGCTCATGACAACGTTCGCGTATCCATAAACTATCTTCAATTCAATATTTTTCACCAACTACTAGATATTTGCGAAAAATTCATGATGCAATACGACTCTAATTAAGATAAGTTTGTTAAATAAAGTAACTCCAGTATATTTTACTGTACACACTGAAGTCATCAATCAATCATTGTGAGATAACCATTAGAAACTTGGAAGCACTGAGAGACGGCCGTTCATCCTGATATGGGACTATTCAGCATTGGGCATCCACGACTCCTACACCTCGCCGGATTCGAACCCAGGACCTACGCTCTTGTGCTCGAATGCCTAATGAGTGAGTTCGCGCAAAGTCTCTAGATTGATCAGAGTTAAACAATAACACCAACGGATGATGGACCAGTGGTCCAGATGTTAGGCTTCGGCGCTCAAGACCTTGAGCCCTGGGTTCGAATCCTGCGACGTGCAGTAGTCGTGGATGCACATTTCTGGCGAGTCCCATACCCATTCAGAACGGCCATTCAGTGCTATGTTTGAATTAATATCAAGGACTGGTCAGGAGTTAGGTCACATAACTAAATTTTCGAAGGATTAATTTAGTAACCTTTAGATTGTTTGTTTAAATCTTTCTCTGAGTATGATTTCACGACCGTAGCTGCTACCTTGACGTGGTGGTCGGGCTTGCCTATCGTGATGACACAACCGAGCTATATTGGCTGGAACATATGTTCCTGAAGGTCCTACCATGACAGACAGGTCGATTGGAGAACGACGAGATGAAAAGCAGCTACTCAAGGTCTGAGGGTGAAGTCGTACTGCTGACTGACTATGGAGGGGTGTGACAGCAGTAAGACGTTTCCTTCGGACAACCGGCATCTACAGCGATGCTGCCTTCTCACAAGGAAGGAAGGGTTAGAAAAGATCGACCTTAAAAATGTCACATCTCACCCTATCTCACGGATTTCAGTCTCTGGCGGTAAGGGCTACCGACTAAGGACCTTTAAGAACGGAGCTAATATTCAAAAACTCCTTCATAAACAGGCCGTGCGTGACCGGCCTCAAGCAGTTGTCCCTTGGACTCTGCGGTCACTCAACCAGGTCTTTAAGACCAACACTAATCTATCTTCCTTTTGAGCTTCGTCAAGAAACAACCTTCCACGGTGTGGGCAGCAGGGAAGTGACAATCGCCCTCATACCTATAACAGCACGCGAGACCAAATTGGTCAAAATCAAATCCTTTCCACACCCCCTAATACCTCTCTTATCTCCACGACTAACTCTTCTGACATTCATTTATCACACTGCACAGCTAATGCAAACAATGCGAGTTCACGAAACGTCATTTCTGGTCTCCTGAAATCCCGCTCTAGACTACATGTTGGAGCATTTCATGTACGGACATTGTGTCAAATAGGGCAACAGGCTTCATTAGCTAGGACTTTAGAATCTCGTACCATCGATGTTTGCTGCGTCTCGGAAACGCGCATACAGGATTCTAGTAAAGTCATTAATCTGATTTCACCTTGTCAAAACAAAGAAGCAGTCCGATTTACTCTTTGTGTATCTGGAAGCCCTAATGCTGCTCCCCGGGGTCTTGCTGGTAGAGCAGAACTAGTGCTCTTAGACTGGATCCCTGTAGATAGTCGTTTGTGCGCCGTCCGACCGAATGGGACAGTAAGGATCCAGAAGGATAGAGACACTCGTCGTATCTGCCCACTGACTGCAGTTCAGACGAGGTGAAAGACGAGTTCTACAGAAAGCTTTCGGAGCTCCTCCAAAAAGTTAGTAGTTATAATGCCTGGTGACTTTAATGCTCAAGTAGGTAGACTAAGTGAGCAGGAGAGACACCTAGGTGGATGTTATGGTGTCGCGGCTCAAAGAACAGACAATGGTGACCGTCTATTGCAAGTATGCTCAGATAACCGCCTATTTCTAGCAAACACTAACTTTAAGCATAAGGAAAAGCAACTTTTGACCTGGCGACCCTCGCTCCCTAATCTTCTCCATTACTGCTAATACTTCTATTATTGCTATCACTGTTGGATTTGAACTAACAGTTGCGTCTCTGTGTTGATGTGGTATGGCAACCTGAACTGATGTACACGTACGTACAAAGTTCTGCGTTGTGCCTCCACATAAATTTCACTTGGCTTATATTGAATGTGGTTAAGCCTTTTCGATTAACTTATTATAACTAAGCTATCTGTATAGCAATAGCTTATATGTGTACAATTGGCTTTTTTAATTATTGTCTAGTTTGTGTTGAGCTGGTACGACTCAGAGCATTGCCAACCGCCTACGTGTATATTCATTCATCCTATTCGCTTTTAATGTTAATCTCTTAAATTTCACGATCACTTAGACATTTTCCTTTGTATATGTATGAACATTTTAGTCTTATTAATTCATTCGTCCATTAGCATATTCACTCGCTCTAGTGTACCTGCCTTGTTCGCTTGTGGGTCCGCTGTCCTATATTGTGATGGTGTGTTAAAAATAAACGAATTCAACTCCTCGTGTTTATGCCTTCTGATTTATAACCGTCAGGCGTTTTTCGATGAGGATTGTTTAGACAAGCGAATTACAAAGTTTAAGAACACGTTGAAGAAATTGGCCCACACTGTATCTTACTTAGTTTAACTTGTACTAAATCATGATCATAGATATGTTTTAATAAATTTCCAAGTGTTCTCATTCGTGGTGTTCTTCGATAACACGTTCTCAAGGTACACGATCCACTTGTTCCATGACATCGACAATAACGTTCCATATTATTGATAACTAACTAAAATTTTGAAAAAAAAATCAAGGTTACAAAGTTACAACTTTACAGGTTTTATTTACATGAATGTAAACATCTGAAAAGCCAGAAATATCCAAGAACTAATATCCAGACATTAGAAGAAATCGATATGAAAGAACTGTGTCAAACCAAATAGAATTTACTAGTATCGTGGTGCGCGCTACTTATTAGTAGTATATGACGCGAGTGAAAACGTAATGTCTGGCAGCAGAAGATGTTGGAAGATCAACAAAGGAAGAGTTAGAAGAACACAATGGAATTTGTATGAAACGCATGAATAAGTGAAATGTCAGACAATGGATTGATGATGGATTGAAGATTTGCAAATTAACCGTTTACGATATGGTTTTCCTATTTTACTGAGTAACTCTGTAATTTTCGATAAATACAATTCGGTTGCCCTCACCGGTGTTCTCCTTCACCGCAGTATTATTCGATTTTTTTTGAGAATTTTCTTCTGAACTCGTGAGTGCTGAAATAAGGAATCCCGTAATTGTAGTCTCAAATGAGCATTTTCATTGGGATTCAAATAAATCTAATTGACTTGTCACAAAAAATGGACAAAATCTATATCTTGGATTTCACTGCTAGGCATGATCCACCTATTTTAAGAAAGATCTAATTAGTTATTTACCTACTTGCTTGGATTATACGCTGCCAACCAGGTTTCTCTAACTTAATCTGTTCTATACTCTCCTTCCCGCGGCGAAATGTACTCTCTTATCTTCCTCTTTTTCTTTGTCCTTGAAGACTTCAAGTTAGGTCTTACCTCATGACAAAGTACCTTCAATTCAACAACACTACTTTGAAGGCTCTACCTGGTACTGAATGTAGTATGATGTTTATGTAGTTCCCACAATTATTAAGATTTCCTCTCAAAGCTGTCTCAATTAAATGTCCTTCTCGCCAGTATATTGGAACTTGTATTTACTTCCAAGTCTTACCGAAGAGAGAGAGAGTGAAGCAGCTTTGCAGTTGCTTCGTTAAATACTTTCAGTGCCTTGGGTAGTATGCTGTTTGACTGTACTACTCCTACCGCTGTTCATTTGAAGGATCCCCATCTTGATTTCTTTGATCGTAGATGGGGTGATATTTATAAGAAGCTCTATAGGTGCTGTTTCAATGACCGATGAGGTTCAGTAGGACTGGTCTATTCAAGAAATGTTTAAAATGATCTATCCACCTATATCGTTGTCCTTGTATCTTGGTGATTGGTCTGTATTGTTTGTTCTTGACTGATCATTCTGTTTTGCCAAAATTTCCAGCTAACTCCTTTGTTGTATCGTTTATTTATTTCATGTTCTTTCTCTTGCAGCGTTTTCCAATGCCGTAGATAAATCTACCGTTTACCAGCTGTATTGCTCCTTATCATTCACCTGTTTCCCTCTGTGAATTCAGCCCGAGTCTCGGCTTTGTTTTTTCTTGCTCGCCTGTTGCTGTCTTCTTGTTCCTCCTTTCCTGAATCTTATCCAGAGTATCAACAGAGGGCCATCATTTATGATGGTATTTCTTGTGGTTCAGTAGCTCCCCACATGTTCAAGTTATGGCTTTCTTAACCCCTTTTTAGTTCTTACCCATGGTAGTTTCTTATTCTTTGAGAAATTCTTGTAGAGATTGGAATTTATTGCTGACGACTATCTTGCACTCTTTGAATTTGCCAGTATCCCGAATAAAGGTCGTATTAAACTTTTGTAATGCTGTTCACCCGATTGTCCAGTGTTTCTTTAGTTTCAGTTTCATCTTGGCCGCCACCAGGTGGTGACCTGAAGTAATGTCAACTCTTCTCATTTCTTTCACGTTTTTCATGGTCCTTCTGAACTTAATATTGATGCAGATATGGTCGATACGATTCTCTTTAGTGTAGTTGGGTGAAAGCCAATTAGCTTTGTGGAAATGTGATGTTATATGTGACTCTTGCATTGAAGGTACAATGATTTTTAGATGTCTCACCCTTTTTCATTTCTTTCTCCCAATTCATATCTTCCAATAATATCATCATATCCAATGTTTTCCATTCCAACCATGGCGTTTAGGTCTTCCATCAAAATGGTCACATTTTGGCCTAGACCCCTCTCTATATAATTGACTGAAGTCTCACAGAAAATTATTCTTCATAGTCTTTGTTACTACTGATGCTAGGCAAAAAGCACTGAATACACATTCACTGTAATCTCCTGATTCTTTTGTTTCGAAGGATTCTTTGATGACTTTGAGTCCATGTGAAGTTCTCATCCTATAAGTGTTATTTGTACTTTTTTTGGACAGAATTAGTGAAAAAGATTTATTTGATGTTTATAAAAGTTTCGTTGTACATATATTTGAAAATTCTGTATAACTAACAATTTCCTCAGTGGATGAATGAATTTGTATTGAAGAGAAAAGCATAGTTTCGTATTATTGAGTTTCTCAAGGTCAAAGGAAAAGAGGAAGGCCAAGGAACACATTACTCCGAGAAGTAGAGAAAGATATGAGAAGAATGAACAAAAATTGGACAGAACTAGAAAGGGAAGCCCAGGACAGAGTTGGTTGGAGAAAACTGGTGGGTGGCCTATGCTCCATTGGGGGTAACAGGCGTAATTAATTAATTAATTAATTAATTAATTAATTAAGTAAGTAAGTAAGTAAGTAAGTAAGTAAGTAAGTAAGTATCATCGAGTTTACGTATTTCTGTGGTAATTTGAGAAGGAAGATTTGAAATTTTCATATTTTGGATGCTTTCTGTTGAAATCAAATCAACCTCAAATATCACGTTCAATGAATCTAACTGACTAAGTTTATTTCTTTAATTTTTTTTATAGAAAACAGAGAATTACTTCTTTGACAACACTATTGAGCAATGAATTTATCTAATGGTTTATTAAAACAATGGAACTTTCAAACATCACAATTGATATTTGAATTTCGGGGTTGAGTTTTGGTGGTTTGTGTTTTTATACAATTGAAATCAACCCTGTCGAGTGTAGGCAGTAACTACCAAAGACAGATGGGTGAGGTAGCACAAAATCCCTAGATCAATCAGAGTTAGACATTAACACCGTCGAATGCCAATCCAGTGGTCCGATGATTAGGCGTTCGCGCACAACACCGAAGGTCCCGAGTTCGAGTTCTACGAGGACAGGAGTCGTGGATGCGCATAGGCACCGATGAGTCCCATACCAGGACGAAACGGCCGTCATTCAGTGCTTCCAGGTGGTCTAACAATGATTGATTGATGATTTCAAATGTGATATTTGAATACTTGTAGTAAATGTACTCATCAGATTAAAGTATCAACTCAAGTCTCATTATTAAGGTCTATTTGGCCAAATATAAATTATCTGACCATATGATTAGAATCATCTCATTAGAGTGTATTGTTGAGTGCTTGAGCTACTGTATAATGTTGCTCTTCGACAAGTTATGTCTTTAGCCATTGATATTGCCGATCGTTTGCAATGGCGCAAGTGCATCCATTCGTTGTGCTCTCTCAAATCCTAATCTTCTGAATTCGTCAACAGCTCTACCTTTGTCTTTCTAACCTTATCTCACTTATTTATACTTATTGAATAATATCTTCAAACCCTAGTCTTCTTCATTACCATTAATACCTCTACTATCTCTATCACCATGGGATTTGATTTGACATTTGCGTCTCTGTTCTAATGTTGTGGTATGGCAATATGAACTTATGTACATACGTTCGAAGTTCTACGTTACAATTGACTGATATGTAGATTAAACCAGTCTCACAAATACAGCTATATCTAGTATGCATTACCCTCGGAATTCAAAATTTATCAAATTTAAAACTTACTTGTCTACCAACACCATTATTATGTAAATTCATTTCAAATCTTATATGTGAACCACGTTCCATTGTATCGAGTAAACGTCGTGAAAATTTTCTACCATAATGAATATTATGATCACATCCTTGCCATTGCCAATCAGAAAATGGTTCTTGTCTACCACGATTATTACATGGACAATTATCAATTTGATTTAAGCATGCTTCAGCCACTGATTGAACAATGCCAGCATTGATAATTGAATATATAAATGCAGTTTGTGGTATACCTTATAAGATAGAAAAAAAACAGGCATGAATGTATTTGTGATGTTGTACAACTAACTGAAATAACTTATAATACATTAATATACCAATCCGTAGCTAGTAGTTTCCGTTTTGGTGATGATTACGCAATCTCATGACACTAGTTTGACTTTTAAGTAGTGTACTTCACCATTTGCGCTTGCACTACACACAATCAAGGCTATCAAGCCTATTGATATTTGTGATAGCTTTTAGCTATTGATTACTTTTTATAAGTAAGTAGTATTTCTTAAAATGGCTGATGATAGATTATGAAGGTTGTTGTCGTCAGTGTAGTATATTTTACAGATTTCATTGGAAAATGATTAATCACAATATTTTTGTATCAGTTGAACTAAAGTGTCATATTGTGGTGTACGCTACTTATGTTCACATAAGTAGTATATATGATATCAAACGTCTGACAGCAAAAGATCGAGAAGGAAAGAATGAAACTGGAAGGCGATTTGTAGGTCACGCAAAGGGAACTGAAGTCTGAACAGTCTAAATGAGAGAACACTGAAATCTGAAACAAATAAGGATTAGTTTGCAAATGATGATATCACGTGAAGGTTTTGTACATCTGCTTAAAAACTCTGTAATATTTGCTTAAATATAGATGTTGATGACCTCACCTGAGTTTTCGTGCACAACAATATCAGTTGGATAACAATGTGTATTGTGTTTTAGCATTTTCAACATTGATTGAAATAGATCGATTTTAGGATGAAGTAATGATGTGATGATGAGCAGTTGGTAAGCCTATTAATTTAACAAAACTTAATTTCATAGGTTGGATAAACGATCAATGAAATAGGAATCATACAACCAATTTTAATCACAATTATTTTATATAAAATATACTTTGTATGAGGTGCGTAACTCTGTCACATAAAACCACCACACATATTCTGTCTTCTGACATGAAAAGGAACAGAGACGTAACTGTCAGTTCAAATCATTTAGTGTTAGCGATAGTTGAAGTATTAGTAGTAATGGAAAAGATTAGGGTTTGAAGATATGATTCCAGAAGTATAATTCAGTGAGATAACTTTAGAAAGAGAAAGATAGAGATGATAAGGAATTCAGGAAGTTAGAATTTGATAGAACACAATGAATGAATGCAGCTGCCCCATTGCGAACGATTATGAGCCATATTGTTCAAGGTCTCTAACCGTCGGTTACTTTCTTCTCGTGGCAAACTGTGTATAAAGTGCGTAACTCTGTCACATAAAACCACACATATTCTTGTCTTCTGACATTCGCTTATTAAGGAGAAGGAATGCTTGACTGCGATTTGTTAGCAATCATTGCTAGGTCACAACCAAGTTATGTGATTGAACTTCTCAATCTACACCACTTCAACCAAGTTTTACTCCATTTTAAATACAACGTAACATAGTTTGATTTTATCAACAGAATTGAGGCACATTGTTAAAACCATAAAATATCACTGACTGGTTGGTATCTAATGCTTAATTTTAATGTATAAAACTCAATCTTACTAGGAAGTGTTTATAAGTCAGATAACTCAATGGTGATAGCATCTTTTTCTGAGGTATTAAATAATACAGATCAGAATACTGGAAGTTGTATACACTCAAAGTGTCTAGGGAAGTATTGGGTTCATCACTAAGTATGCTTGAAGCTATTACGAGTTTAACTTAGTCGATAAACGAGAACGAGACAATTACCAGCGTCCATATAGGCTACCTTGAATCCCCAAACTAGAGTAAGAAGGCTTTGTAAGCGTAGAAAGTATATTCTACAAACGGCCAGCAATCACAATACAATCAAGCACAAAACTCTCGTTCATTTATACATCATTGAAACGTCCTTGGGACAGTTAAGAAAATAGCACACTAAAATACATAGCAGCTGATCACAGCCATGGATTTTCCTGGGGTGGGGATTGAAATCTCATGGTCAACTGATCCGCCCATTCCGGTAAACGTGAAAACAAAAATAAGGCATTTAACAAGCGAGTTTTGGGGATCTAACATCCCCAACAGAAAGCAGGCGGTAAAATGTGTTCTTTAAGTTTAAACTAATCGGTACTTGTTAACATTCATCAGCTAGGTGTCTGAATAATCTTCAATCAACTTATGTCACTCGATACTATGTGATCATAGACTGTACCATTTTAGCTGGATGTTTTCAATAGCCTCTACTACTGAAATGAAATGACTGATTATTTTAAAACCTCAGTTCCAATGTGTTTTCAGTTCAACATGATTAGTTTTACTTAGTTGAATGTGAAATCTGAATTTTTACTATTGTTATAATTTGTAAATGATTTTCCGAAAATTCTACTCACTGATTTCAAATCTGATCAGTGTGAACAATCTCTGATAATTTGATAAGAAATTACGAAACAATAAATCGGTACACAGTAGTAATCTGTTTCTCATGAAACTATTTGGATAGTCTATCTAATCAATAAACAAAGTGATCTCATAATAAATTGATCACACAAACTTTTCGGTCTTATTCATTTCAGATCGCTTCCAGATGATAACAAGACAACTGTATTACGAGGTTGTGAAGATTGTAAAGTTACGAATTTGACATTATGAATCGATCAATGTTAGATCACCATTAGAAACCTGGAAGCACTGAGAGACCTCCGTTTCGTCTTAGTATGGGACTCATCAGTGGTAGTGAGCATGCACGACTCCTGCACCTCACAGGACTCGAACCCATGACCTTCGGTCTTGCACGCTAACGCGAATTGTTCAGTCGTCGTTACTATTGTTCACATAGGTTGAGAACTTTTTTTGAAGTTAGGATTTTTAAGCATCTTTTCGATGACACTTTTAACTTTATGGTATCCTAATAGTCTTTACAGCCCATGCTAAACAGTGTAATTTATTTCAAAGAGATATTTTCTTTAAGAAATCATCCTTGTAAACAGCTTTCTGGAGTTTGGTCAGACGTTTAATAATATCTATCAATCATTGTGATCTAAAACGAAAAATGCCAACTTCAGTGTATTTTTATTATGTGTTTAAGTCATTATCTGTTTCTTATTGACATTGTTGTGTGTTGCAGGAATAGTCATCTCATCAAATAGGCAGCATCCTAAATAGCTAAGATGTTCTTGAAGAAATCCTGCATCAATGGAATGTGTTAACTACTATGAAGATATACAAAAGATTACGTATTATCAGATTGACTATATCAGACAGTCAGTCAGTCAGTTACAAGGGAGAACTTCGTACGTAAGTACATAAGTTCAGGTTGCCATTCTGCGTCAGCATAGAGACGCAGCTATCAGTTCAAATCACATAGTGGTACAGATAAGAGAAGTATTAGCAGTAATGGAAAAGATTAGTGTTCGAAGATATGATTTGAGAAATACAATTCAATGAGATGAATTTGGAAAGAGAAAGATACAGATGATGAGGAATTCAACTGATGAAGGATATTTTTTTGCCTCTTTTCAGAAGTTCACGAAATTTTTTATTTTAATATATAACTAATTAAGGGTTGATTAACAAGATTGTTTCAGAGTGACAGTAATAAGCTTACATAGAAAAGTTAGAATTCATAGAAATATTTCATAAACAATGACTTATTTACAATAACATCCATCTTGTACATATCGATCGGTAGATCTAAGTGAACAATTCGTTTCTTCTTACCTTTCAGTAAAATATTCCCAAATAAAGCAGTTTCATCATCAAGTACTTGACTACAATTCCATCTTTCATGCCTAAATTGATAACGACATTCAGCTACGGCACGTTTTACACCAACTACTGCAGCTTCAAATAAAGCCAGATTAAATTTAGCTGGTGCATTTACACGATTACCAATAGTTGTAGAATCATCTGTTATGAATTGTTTCCATTGTTTCGGTGATAACCATTGTTTGTAACGTTGTATACGTTGTCTGATATAATGTTCTATCCATGTTGAACCATGTGAGATAGGCTGTAGAGATAAAGAAAAGATTGTAGATTTACAGAGCTGATTGGAAAGTTATAATCATATTAGTTTGTTATCAGTTAATGTTGGAGACGTTAGATCCCCAGAACTAGCTTGATAAACATGTTAATTTTGGGTTTTATTCATAGGCTGATCAGTTGACCTTGAGATCACATTTACTACCAAGAAAATCCCTGGCTGTGATTGGTTGATGCTATTTTTCTGACTCTCCCAAGGACATCTCTATGATGCATAAATAAACGCGATTTGTGTGCTTGAGATCACTGTATTTTCTGAGTGCTTGTAGAATACACTTTCTACTCCATATCAAGACTTTTTATACAGTTAGTTGGGGCAACGGATCAGAGTAGCCTATCATGTCACTGGTTCATTGTTTCGTTCTCGTTTATCGGCTAAGGGGAACTCGTAATAGTTTCAAGCATATCCAGTGACGAGTCATTCCCATATATTACATTGGTCTAGTTATATTATTTAACTTGTTCAACTGGAAAAACTAGTGTATGCGAGAGCATTTTAAACTATGGATTATCCAGAAATTCACAAAAACTCTGAGATTGGTGTGTATTTTTGCAGTAGTTTTGAATTGATTTGTTAACCATCTAGTTTATGGAGATAAGCAAACATGTACTACGTTGTCACTATACATCATCTTCATATGAAAAGATTCGGCACACTGATTCTTTCAAAGCAAAAGTTCAAACTAACCATTATTAATCCTTAACATTTGATTTAAAGTCTAAGACGAATTTATATAAAAGGATAAATTAATTTTGTGCCTGCGAATTTTGATCTAAGGCGTTAATCGTAACATTTAAACGAAATGACTAGATCCTACTTAGAGATTTTGTGTTCCAGGCTTGTATTTATGCTCATAAACAAGGCCTTTCTATATTCTGGAGAAGATTCGTTGCCCGCTTATTTAAAACTACACTGTCTTAATTGAAAGGATCAAAACTTATCCCTACTAAGTACTTAAAATGAAACTTTTAAAAAACCCCTCTTTCGAAATACATCAATTCACAGTTGGAAATCAACAAAGAAACGAAACTTTTTGTTCTTTTTATATTTAATATGTTGGGGATGTTAGATCCCCGAAATTCGCTTGTTAAATGCCTTATTATTTGGATTTCACGTTTGCGAGCATGGGCTGATCAGTTGACCTTGAGATTTCATTTCCCACCATGAAAATCCATGGCTGTGTGATTGGCTGCTGTGTATTTTAGTGTGCTATTTTCTTAACTGTCCCACTAGGACGTTTCTATGATGTATAAATAAACGAGAGTTGTATGCTTGATTGTATTGTGATTGCTGGGTGTTTGTAGAATATACTTTCTACGCTTACAAAGCCTTTTATCTTCAGCTTGGGATTCAAAGTAGCCTATCTGGACGCTGGTAATTGTCTCGTTCGTGTTTATCGACTAAGGTGAAATCTTAATAGCTTCAAGCGTACCTAGTGACGAACCCTACAAGATGTTTAACTTCGAAAGTTTATTGAGAAGTTTATTTTGGTCCCTATGTATATTATGTATATCATAGAAATACAATTTAAAATAAGAAGAAACTCACCTCAAAAACTTGTCTTCTCCATTCATAAACTGATGGATGATTTTGATTATTATTATTATTATTACTACCGCCACTACTACTTGCACCACTATGCATTTCATGATTCATATATGGAATAATTTGTTTTTGATTTTGATAATTTAATCCCGTTATACTATTCCATGGTATCATAGTCTCGGCATTCATCTTAATAGGTGGTGGTTGATTATCTTCAGAATAAATTTCAATAATTGGATTATGTAAACTTCGTGAATTACCAGATAAAGTTAATGGATGTGAATGTAGAAGTTTTGCTATTGTATCTAACCTATTGACAAATTTTGAAAAAGAAATTTACTTATAGATTTTGTACTACTTAACTATTTAAAAGTAGTTAAACATTTTCATATAAATAGTAACATCGTAAAAGTGACAACTCCAAAACAACCATTCTTCTATATATATATATATATATATATATATATATATATATATATATATATATTTTTTTAAAAATCCATAATATTTCTTGTAAAAAAGTTAAACACTAAAAGAATATGAGTCATTAGGGTAGATTCAATAAAGCAGGTGATAAGATTACCGTAATTATGTTATTAGTTTAAAACATTGAACGAACGAGCTTCACAGTGTCGTTAATTGGTCACATTTATAACTAACTGCAATACATATATATACGCATTTCTTCCTACAGTAAATTTTAAAACGTAAAAGTAACAATATTACCCTATTTTGGGGCCTACAATGTCGAAGGTCCCGAGTTCGAATCATGCGAGGAGCAGGAGTGGTGGATGCGCACTGCCACTGCTGATGAGTCCCATACCAGGAAGAAACGGCCGTCTGTCAGTGCTTCTTCCAGGTTTCTAATGGTGTTAGTCTAACAATGATTGATTGATGATTACCCGGTTTTCTTCTTGATTCTATTGTGTTTTCCAATCGAATTCAGATGAAATATGAGTGTTTTCAAATCTTAACATACATATATATATATATATATATATATACATATATATATATATATATATATGTTACTTATCCAAAAATACCATCATCAACATCATATTTTTTTGTAATTAAAATGTAATGTATCTATCTAAATCATATCTGAAGATGATGATGATGTATATTTCTAATTGTTTCTATCTCATAAATTATATATTAAATGTATAAAAAATGAAACAAGTAGAATTACACAAAATAAGGCTAAAAAATTAAGTTAATTTTCAGGCTAAACGAAGCATGTATTTGTCTGCTTACTTAAAATTCTTTACACACAATAACATAATGAGAAAAATATGCATCAACATCTGCTGTTCCTTCCTTCCAGTCAACATTTCAACTTTTATTATTCTTCATGTCGAAAAAAAACTGGAGGGAGACAAGTAAATAAAACAGGGTAGTGTATTTTTTTCTGTTTAGTCCAGTCAGAGCCTGTCAAACTTGTCAAATTGATTTATTGGTTCATCTACTGTCAAATAATTCAATAACAGCAATCTGCATCGATATATTTATGTACAAATATGTATATTGATGTGTAGAAAGGGCACAACATATTTTATCACTGATAAATACTGAAATTTTTTCTACTGCTACCACTACTACTACTAGTACTACTGTTACTACTACAATTAATTATTCTGTCAGGTGCATTGTTCGAATTAAAAGTAAGAATGATTAGTAGTATGTTGAATGTTGAATCTAATTAAACTTTAGATTTCATCATTCTGATCTGGCCTTTCTGTTTTCTTCTTTATGTTTACAGAATTTTTTTTAATCATATTAGCCTTCCTTAATCTAGTGTCAATAGTTTCTATTTGTTATGTATATAATTCAATCATCATATACTAGATGAGAGTGTGATTATTGATGTTGCTCCTGTGTGACTTTTGCGTTGATTTCTTGAATCATCTTTATCAGAGATATATACACACAAAACAAAACAAAACAATATTGATTACCTAGGCATGAACTTATTACAATTGAATACTATTACGGGGTTGTTGTGAAGATTGTTAAGTTACACATTACTGAAACCATGGATCGATCAATGTTAGACAATCATTAGAAACCTGGAGGAAGCACTGGACGGCCGTTTCATCCTGGCATGGGACTACTCAGCAGTGCGCATCCACGTCTACTGCTCCTCGCAGGATTCGAACTCGGGACCTTCGGTATTGTGCGCGAACGCCTAACCATCGGACCACTGAGTCTAATATTAGTCGATTCATGTTTTCAAAAATGTGTAACTGAACAATATTTACAACCCCGTAATGCAAATTACCCGTGCTCACTAGTGACTAGTTTCGTGAGGAATCTTCTCCGAGTTATAATGGGAAGACGTGACCAGTGAAGTTCAACCTGTTCTGGTGTAGACAGTAACTACTACCGAAGACTGTGTATGAGGTTGCGCAACTCCGTGAATTTGATCAAGTTAGACATTATCACCGTTAGATACCGGCTCAGGGGGTCCGATGGTTAGGCGTTCGCGCACAATACCAAAGATCCTGAGTTCACATCGTGCGAGGTGCAGGAGTCATGGATGCGCACTGCTGAGGAGTCCCATACCATGACGAACCGGCCGTCCAGTGCTTCCAGGTTTCTAATGCGGTGGTCTAACAATGATCGATTCATGGTTTCGAAAATGTGTAAATTGAATAGTAGTTAAAGCGTGTACATGTCACGGGGTTGTGTTGTGTGTACATAGCTGTGAGTGAAGTGATAATCACTGTGAGTAGATGTGTTTTTGAACAAAGAAAAGTATCTTAGGTTTAGTTCAGATATTTATGGTTAAATCATCAAACAAAACACAGTGCATGATATTTTGGGGCAGAGTTTTGGAGGTTAGCGTTTTTCAAATTTGTAATCATCAATCAATCATTGTCAAACCGCACCATTAGAAACCAGGAGGCAATGACAGACGGCCGCTTCGTCCTGGTATGGGACTACTCATCAGTAGTAGTGCGTATCCACGACTCCTGCAGGATTCAAACCCAAGACCTTCGGTCTTGCACACGAACGCCTAAACTCTGACCAGTGGAGTTCAGTCCTGTTCGGGTGTAGGTAGTAACTACCAAAGACAAATGGGTAAGGTCATGCACGCAAGATCGAAGGTCTTGGGTTCATATCCTACGAGATGCATGAGTCGTGGAAGCGCACTATCACTGATTAGTCCCATACAAGGATAAAACGGCTGTCCAGTACTTCCAGGTTTCTAATGGTGATTAATGATTTCAAGTAAAGTATCCTTGTGACAATCTGAAACCGATTTTTTTAAAATCTTATTTGTTCAATGAATCGATGATCTAAAAAATATATAAGCCAAGTGACAACGTACATTGCAATTCTCTTGTTCAATTACCTCAATGTTCGTATCATTAAAAATGTACTTTCATAATAAGTTGTTACAAAATTATTTTGCGCGAATCAACTACATTTTCACTTGTTGCTCATTCAATTACCAATCAACTTTTCTTTTATTTACATGGTTAAACTAATAGACATTCACAAGACCAATCCTCTAAGAATTCATTTATCGAAGACAATTTAAGCAAAAGTTAAAAAATTATTCATTCCCTATTCACTAGTTAGTTTGTAAGTAAGTTAAATAGTTAAATAGTTAAATTATCACTGTGTCACACAACACTTACACCAATTACTTCAGAATGAACAATATATATATGAACAAGTAATGTATACAAATACTCAGAATTTTCGAAATTAAAATGTGTAAAAACGCAAACCCCCAAAACTCTGCCCCAAAATATCGTAACGGTTCTCACTAGTGACTAGCTTTGTGAAGTCTAGTTGAGAAGACGTGACCAATGGAGTTCAACACTGTCGGGTGTAGGCAGTAACTACCAAATACAAATGGGTGAGGTCGCGCAAAATCTGTGGATCAATCAGAGTTAGACATTAATACATCCACAGAATACTATATTCAACTATGAAATCTGATATCCGTGTTATGTAACTTTAAGTTTTATCTAAAATTCAACAAACATTTCTTGCTCAAATACAAAATACATTGATTTTTGGGATTATCCAATAGGTTGTTGGTCAATCTTAGTTAGTAAATGTGTATCCTGTGCGGAATTTCGCAAAATAAAGAATATGGGTATCGCTGTAGAATTATCCCATTAGCTTCCAGCCGTTTAAATGTTGTAACAATACATTTTCAGGCTTAAATAAGGGTTTGTGCGCAAAAAGGAAAATCCTGGGCTTTGTTCCCATGTGCAGAGATCTGTGATGTGCTCTGATGAAGAGTCCCATACTAGATAGAACAAGACAGTCTTGCAGTACTTCCAGGTGTTTGATGTTGGTCTAGATACGGTAAGTTCATGGCTTCAACCTATAAAATTCACTTTGGAAAACGAATTTTGAGTACAGTGAACTACCCTTTTTTTAGTCTGTATAGTTAGAAAGAATTCTAATGGGAAATTTTAGTCAAACCATTTACTAAAAACCAATACACTCAAATCAATAATATTGATCGTAACCCTGCATATGCATTCAGTGTGAATATTTCCTTGACTGTCATTCCATTCAAAAGGGTAATCAAGGTCATAAACTTCAGACAAAGATCAGCTAAAGTAAAAAAAGATAATATCATAAACATCTTACTGCTGTGAATAATTTTCCTACGTGAATATTAGTAAAAGCAGAATAAACTGAAACTATACATTTATAAATAACAATTCCAATAAGTGTGTTCAACCAACACTATCATATACAAAACATATAAATTAAGTTTAATTGGAGTAACATAAGTGGAAAGTGGAAGTATGAAATAGAATGGCGTGAAACTAGGAAAGTGCAATATTCAAAAACAAACTGGAATCAGTTGAAAACTATGAGAATCTTTAAGTTATTGAAGAATATTCAAGTTTATTTTTTTAGATAATAAGCTATTGGTTTGAATGACTTAAAGGTGTTATTTCTTAACAAAGATAAATAGGGAATGATTGATTAATAACGATATAATGTTATCGTTGATTGTAAACTGATAGGTAAACATATTCAGCTAAAGAAATAAGTGGCCGTATCATGAATTATTTCTGTGGTTATGGAGAGTATTGAGAAGACGACCAGTGTAGCAGCAGCCTCTGCAGCAGTAGGTATCAATATACATAAACGAAAAAGCGAAATTCTCCGATGCAATACAACATGCACCAACCAAATCATCCTTCATGGAGATGCCTTGGAGGACGTTGACACCTTTACATATCTAGGCAGCATCATCAACAATCAAGGTGGATCCGATGCAGATGTGAAGGCGCGGATTGGCAAAGCAAGGGCTGCATTTCTACAGTTGAAAAATATCTGCAACTCCAAACAAATATCAATCAACACCAAAATCAGAATTTTTAATACACATGTGAAGGCAATTCTACTAATATGCAGTGGAAACTCGGAGAAATACTAAAGCCATCATCCATAAGATACGAGTATTTATTAACAGTTGTCTACTCAAAATACTTCGTATTCATTGGCCAGACACTATCAGCAACAGCTTACTGTGGGAGAGAACAAACCAGACTCCAGTGGAGGAGGAAATCAGGAAGAACTGGTGGAAATGGATAGGACACCAAAGCAACGAACTGCGTCACAAGACAAGCCCTTACTTGGAACCCTAACGCCAAGAAATAGAGAAAGATATGAGAAGAATGAACAAAAATTGGACAGAACTGGAAAGGAAAGCCCAGGAAAGAGGAGGTTGGCGAATGCTGTTCGGCGGCTTATGATTCATTGGGGGTAACAGGCGTAATTTAGTAAGTTTAGTTGCTGTTCGACAATAGGCAATTATTTCAAGTACTGTTCGCATCTACTATTCTCAGTTATTTAACAGACAATATTATTGAAAGTGATATTGTGGTGTGTGCTACTTATACGAACGATATAAGTAGTATAAGAATGGATGTGAAAGAAGAAGTCTCACGGTCAGAAGAGGAAAACGGAAAGCAAATAGAGCAAAAGCAAGAAAGAAATAGAGCACCAACAGGAAGGAAAGCAAGCAACAACAGGAATGGAAGAAGGAGGGAGCGTTGGAAGTCACGACTCAAAGATGATGTGCAAATAGAGTATTCAATGTTATGTTTTCGTTTTTAATCGACTAAGAATGTAAATTTGCATAATACGATCTTCCACGCCTGCCTCAGTCTTCTCAGTAGCATCTCACACATTCATTCATTGTACTTCAATCATATGTCTTTTAATTAATTTGATAAATGTACCGACTATAATTTTGTATTTGTAATAATTTGATTACAGTATCGATTATTGTATATTTGATT